ACGATCAGAGCCACCGCCGGAGACACCATTGTTGTTGAGCTCACAAACAAACTGTACACTGAGGGAGTTGTCATTCACTGGCACGGAATCAGACAGGTTCCCCCCCACTCTCTCTTTCCCACTAAATCTCTTGTAAATTTGTAATCGTTTTATCTAAAAGTTTAAGCTGTTGTATAATTTTTTGCAGCTTGGAACTCCTTGGGCTGATGGAACTGCATCCATTTCGCAATGTGCCATTAACCCTGGAGAAACGTTTGTGTACAGGTTCAAAGTTGACAAGGTGAAAATTAATAATAATAAAAAAAAGGGTCTCTTTCCTCTCTTCTCCTTTTTCTTCAACTAATCCACACGGAAATTTCCCAACGGCATCTACTTTATAGAACAGATGCTTCCTTGCTCCGAAAGCTAATATAAAACTTTTAAAAGGCTTTGTCCTTTTCTAATAATTTTTTTTTTTTATAAAAAAACTAATCTTGGAGGTTAATTAATTATATGGTGCAGGCAGGAACATACTTTTATCATGGACATTTTGGGATGCAGAGATCAGCAGGGTTGTATGGATCTCTGATAGTTGAGGTGGCAGAAGGAGAGAAAGAGCCATTCCATTATGATGGAGAGTTCAACTTGTTACTGAGTGACTGGTGGCACCAGAGTGTCCACGAACAAGAAGTCGGTCTCTCCTCCAAGCCATTCCGCTGGATCGGTGAACCCCAGGTAAGAGTTAAAGTAATCAAGAGATTACATCTGCACTCCCCACAGGCCCAAATGGTTACATTTTTTTGTGTGAGAAGTAAGGTAGAGCGCAATTTATGATTATTAAGTCGACTTTTTGATTGATACTCAAATAGATATTAATTTACTAATTATGTTTTCTACAGTAAAAAAAAAATCAAGAGATTACATCTAAACTCCCCCAAAAAAACCTACTACTAGTAGTTTTTTAATTAATAATAAAAATCTAAAAAGCCTGTGTTTTGAAGCTTGACCTCTTGTTCAAATTGTTGCAAGCACATGTGGAAGAAATTATTTTTTTAATTAAATCTTAACTTATATAATAATAATAAAAAAAACTCTCTTTAATCTCTTAATCTCTTAATTCATCATATCTTTTAATTTATCTCACTTATATATTATATGAGTCGAATTCAAAATCTTTCTCTTAGATATTGTTGACCTTTCTTTTTTTAATTAAAAGGTATAAATATTGGCTCATAAAGCATTGGTAGGGTTGATTAATGATTTTTATTTTTTTGTTGCATGCACAGGCTGTAGGCCATGTGGTCAATGTCAAAATTCTATTATTAAGCATGAAAAGATAATTCATGCGTGTATATAAGACTCAAGAACTTTAGTGCATAAGAGAAATTTCGTCGCATGTGATTTTACATATATCTATCCATTTGATTTTGTGTAATTATTATTATACTCAAATTGTATATATGTGGTGGCCCTCCATACGAACCCTAAATGAATGATTAATTGAGGACTTAAATTCAAATGCTTAAAATACACTACAATCCATAATGTTAGGTGCAACATCAAAATCAGGAAAGCGTGAAATTAAAACATTGATTTTTCTTATTTTTTATCCACAAGAAATTAAATATTAATCTGTGTTTTTGGGTTATTTTCTTTTGCAGAGTTTGCTAATCAATGGAAGAGGACAATATAATTGTTCATTAGCAGCCAAATACAGCAATTCGTCCTCTGTTACAGAGTGCAAGTTAAGAGGAAATGAACAATGTGCACCTCAAATTCTTCATGTGGAACCCAA